CATTAGATGAACTATACCCTATCCCCTCTAAGAACGCACTCTTGTTAATGGCAGAACCTTCTTCAAACCACTCTTCGTGCTCTTCTTCTGAGTCTTCTTTTTCACTTGCCAAAGTATTCAACAATGTGCGCAATTCTTGCAATTCTTGATCAGGTTCTTCTTTCTTTTTACCACGAAGAAACCAGTGTCCCTGAGAATCATCTTTCTTCGACTCTTCTGTTTCATCTTCTACATCTCCACTATCACCGGTTTCTAACTCATGAGCCAACCCTTCATTCCCACAAACTCCTTTCTTGAATTCATTGGCCCCGTCGCACTTTGTTCTTGCTTCAAGATTGGTTATCCTTCTCTTATTTGCATCTTCTTGAGTTTTCTTGAATTCTTCGATTTCTCTCTTTGTGCTATCTTCTCGCACCCTTGTCAGCCATTGTTGATTTCCTTGATCTAAAATCTTAATCTAATCCAGCTATCATAATATTTTTGTCAAAATACTCATTTGGCTCTTCCAGGCTTCTTCTGAGAGTACAAGTTGAGAGCCATGTGTAAAATTGAAGATAGACAATGCAACTATATTATATTATCCATACAAAGGCTGGCATGGCATGGGATGCAGTGGAAGTGAAAACTCAAATCTGCTATGCTCAAATTACTTAATTCTAGGTTGCTTCCCAAAAATTAAGCATCAAATTCAATACCATATTGAAAAAAAAAAAAAGAGGTTCAAGATTCATGACTAAAAAATTAAATCTTGGTGATTCTTCTCTTCTCCTAACTAGCTAATACCCAAAGTAGCTTGAATGAAGCTTCTAAATTCGATCGCTTGTTAGGTCTTCATCTTCCTTTAAGTCACACAATTCATTCATCTTTAACTCTATTTTTGGATATATATTCAGATCATCTGGTTCAAGTCCGCATAATGCCTTCAATTCATTCAGCCTTGATTCTATCTTGTTCAGTTCCTTCTCACATTCCTTGAGGTCAGCTTCTAGTAGAGTTGTTAAATCCTTCAATGACTTCTCTGTATCTGATTCTCCTTGACGCTTTAGATTATTTTCCAAACGCAGAATTTCATGGAAGAATTGAAGAATGAGTTGGTTAACTTGGTTCTCATTAAATAAACCTTCCTTCAGAACATTGCTATCAATATCAACTTTTTTGATCATTGAATTTAATATTCCTGTGCTTTGGACTTCTTGATCCACGAAATCCAGGAGAGCTAGAATCCTGCTTGCTACCATATAATTCTCATCTCCAATTAGCCATTTGAGAGAAGAGTTCATCACTTGAAACTTTGGTGCCATTTCTTTCATATCTGACAGCAACAACATGAGATTAATGAGCATATGAGAGAGCTTGGTGGCCAGCTTAACTGTTGTAGCCTTCAATGTTTTAGCAGACTCCCAATCTTCAGCTGATTTAGCATAGCCATTCAGCCACTTCACATGACTGATCTCCTCCACATCGTGCTGGTCTTTCTTAAATTTATGCAACAATGCTGCTATCTTTCTGCTGAATGCTTTGATTTTGGTATGAACGGTTGGCTTATTATAAGAACTTTCAGGTGGAACAAAACTGACCTTTTTTGTTTTCAATTTCTTACCTTCTAATTCACCCCCATTCATCAATTTCACAAAACATTCTTTCTTTGGCTCACTGCCTTCTCCACTTTCAGGAACCAATTTTTCCATATTATCTTCTGTATTTCCTATGACACTGGTCGAAGATGACATACCTGGCAGCTCCAATTTATCATTATCACCACTTCTCTCTTCATTATCTACACCTCCCAGTACAACTCTTGGCTTTTCTTGTTCCCTTCTTTCACAGACAGACCATTCTTGCACAGAATCATCTTTCTTCAAGTCTATTGTTTCTCTGCTGTAGCCACTCAAAGAAAACATTTCTTGTTCCACTTTATCACCATAACCACTCTCACCAGATGGATTGAATCCTATATTTCCACCCTTCTCTTCTTTCTTGGCTTCAAGATTGGCCCATTTTTCATCGGGTTGAGTAAACGGTGCCATTAACACAGTCACTCCTCTGTTTTCATTTTGTTGAAATATCTTCAGTGCTGCAATTTCCGCCTGGATCGCCTCGGCTTCATGTTTATTATTTCTTAGCAGAAGCTCATCAAACTTTCGTTTTATGTATTGTTTGCAATCAGCAACATGCAAAACTAGAGCCTGAATTTCAAGATCAATTTCAGTTTGATCTTCCTTAGCCATTGATAGTTTCTTTGCTCCTGCTAAAGAAAGTTTGAGGGAGAACGAGAGAGAAAGACAAGCGCCAAAATGTTATCTTTTGAAGAAACCGTTTTTTCTGTGAAGGAGAAATTGATTATTTCACGCGAGGGTGATACCGCAAGTGCGGACAGAATATGTAGTGTGTTGATAACGAATTTGTACCGTGCTGCACTAGTTACGGGGGCTATATATAAGGATTTTTAAAAAAATATTATTACAGTAATCGAAAAATCTGTGGCCGAATTATACAATTTTTCTGGTAAAATAATATAGTTTTATATTATAACATTTTAAAGATATAACATTTACTAAATATTATTATTCTCAAGCACCATAAGATAAGATGATTGTTGCACTTCAGACACACATCAACTTAATATATTATGATTTAATAACATGATATATCATAAAATTTAAATTCTTTCCTACATTGAAGAACACAAATAGAGACAACACTATCTCTCTAAAAAATAACATCAACAACAATTCTCTTTCTAAAAAATCAATTAATTACTTGTTTTTTTTCCTTAAAATACCAAAATTTAAATCCAATATCATAGGATGCATTCCCTTTCAAAGAATCATTAAATCATTGTTGTCGCAGCTATCACCACAGCCACCCTAGCACTTTTTAGACATACAACTAAGATAAACATACTACATTGTTATATATATTATATATCAATGTGTTTACATGCTACATTTATATATATTATATATCAATGTAGTATGTTTTATCATTAATTCAATTTAGTTAAACCTTAAACAATAATTTTATTTCAATTAAATTAAACATAAAATAAATGAAATTTTAATTTAATTAAAATAAAATTATTGTTTAGGTTGAATTAATGATAAATTACCTATGAATACCATCAATTATTATGAATTTGATGTAATTGAACATAAAAATAACATCAATTAATTAGAAATTAAGAATTTCAATGAATTAATGTTGAATTTTGGATAAGTTGTCAAATTAAAATTTTTTTTATAAATTGATTGAAATGAGCTAATATTGTTATCAACTATGCTTAATGATTTCATGTAATAGAGTATAAATAGGATATAATTTTGATGAATTACGTGTTGTATTGAATTGTGAATAAGTTGTTTTGTTGGATGTGGTATTTTCTTTGAATTTTTTAAATTTACTAAGAATTTAGGTTTGATTTCATTTGGTTGAGCATGGAAATATCAAATAGATTTAATATTATGAATTATTTTTAATTTTGGTGAAATATATGTTGCATTAAATTTTGGGAATTTGTTTGATTTTTTTATGAATTTTGGCAATTACTGTTGGGTTAATATAGTTTGGTTAAAATTATGTCCAGTTGAGCGAAATCAAATTTGTTTTTTTTTGTTACAAAATGTATTATAATATCAAATTTAAAAATATCATATTATTTGCTGATTATATCAAATTTGGTCCTCAAACTTTTAATTGGTACATATATATTTTGTTTTGAATATTTATTTTTCAATTTCATCTCTTAAAATTAATTTTTATATTAACTTTGATCCTCATTTTTATAATTATTATTTGCTTTTTTCCTATCATTTTTTTATTTATCAAATTTGATCCTCATTCTTTTAATTGTTTATTATTTTATTTAAAATAATTTATGAAATGTTAATTATTATTATTTTAATTTCTTCATTTTTTTTTACTATTTAGATTTGATTTTTATTTATTTTATTTGAGATAATTTAAGAAATTATATTTCTTTTTCAATTTCATTCTCATTCAACTTTTTTATTTATAAGATTTGTTCCTCATTATTTTAATAAATTTAAAAAAATAAAACATTAATAAGTTATTTTTCAGCTCATTTTCCATGACATAACCAAATACTGAAAAATATTTTCTAATTTATTTTTCATTACACATCTAAAAAAATAACTCACTTTTCTAAAATTCACATTTAAAAAAAACTACTTTCCAGCAAATAAACAGGGTTATAGTAAACACTTTGAATCCGAGTAGCTCGAACAAACAACCTAAGAAATTGTTTGCATTATTGCTGTTGATTTGCTTTTATATTTAAACTTTTATTTGAATATTTTATTTAAAAAATATTAAATTAATAAACAAATTAATATTTTTTATAATTTTGATGTGATAATATTAAAAATAAAAAAGTATTTTAATTTTTTAAATAAAAACTAATTTTCAAAAATATTGAAAAACTTTAAGAGTGGATTTATATTATGATACATGGTTTTTTTTAAAAATATATTAAAATAATATTTTATTTTTTATGTCAATATATCAAAATGATAATAAAATATTAATTAAATATTTTTTTACTAAATATAATTTTAAAACATATTTTAATACAATAAGAAATAACAAATAGACTTTAAAAATGCATAAAATAACTAATAATAAAGGTAAACAGTATCACATTAAAATAAAATAAATAGATTGGATCCTTAATTACCATCCGCTACCACCGTGGCATCGAGCGAGCCCTTTAAAGTTCAAACAAAAGGATTCGCGAAGCTTTTATTTAACAAATCATATTTATAATAAAAGAAAATATTTCAACACAAGAACTGAAGAACTTTCTCGAAATATGAAAGAATATTGTAATTTTATTGTCTCAATCTCTAGTTTTAATTACGAAATAGATTATCAAGTACTTTTTGATGATTATTCTCTAATTTTATATTTATATATATAGAGGAATCCAGCACCTTGACGAAATTCACTGCAGGATTGAATTTCTGGAGAAAAAAATGTTTGGGGAGAGGGAGAGGGAGAGGGAGAAGGATAGGGAGAGGGATGTGAATATTTCTGGGGAGGAAGCGTGGAGACGGCGTGCTGCCATGAGTGGAGGTGTTCCGAGGAGTTCTTCGCCACCCAGGAATGGGGATGGGTTTAGTATTGGGACGTCAGGGACGGTGGGGTTGGGAGTTGGTGCTGGTGGACAAATGACTGCGGCGCAGAGGATGATGGCGAAGATGGGCTGGAAGGAAGGACAAGGATTGGGGAAACAGGAGCAAGGGATTACGACGCCATTGATGGCGAAGAAGACTGATAGGAGAGCTGGGGTTATAGTGAATGCTAGCGAGAAGAAGGTGAAGAGTGTGAATTTCAATGGAACTCCTCCAACTCGGGTTTTGCTCCTTAGGAATATGGTATGTGTGTATATTTCTTGATTGGTTTAAATAAATGTATTTGCACACTATAACTGTAAAGAAACTAACGGATTGGAATCTGCAAAACAGCTACAAGTTGCTGTTTCTATTCTTGCCATCTATTCTTTTGTATTTTGCAACATGCTCCACTGATTCTGTTCTTTTATTTCTTTCCCTCTGTAAACAACAAACTACTTTGCATGCTATCAACTACTCGGGATTGCCCATTGTTGCTGTATTGATCTTCACTAAGATTTTTATTTATTCTAATTTCATGTAGTGAATATCTAGCCTAACATATCTAGTTTTATGAATGGCGGTATAGTGCCCTAAGGAGAGAGAACTCTGGGCGTTTGATAGAACTAACCAAGAAGCATCTGCATGAGGAGAATCTGTGCATTGAGATTAGCGTTTGGCATTGAGGATTTTATTCTGTTGGCAACTGTGTTTCTGCGAAATCTACTCTATCCTTGTTCTTTTTGGAATCACTTGATGTTTTAGAGTTTTAAGTGTCTGATACCTACCTTTTCTCTGACCAGCTTGCTTATTTCTAGTTTTCTCGCATCATAGCGCACTGACTTTCTCATTAAGTTTGTAGCTGTAACATACTTTTCTGAAATTTCAAATCCCCCCCACGCTTGAATTTTCTGTGCACTTATGATTTTTCATTCTCTTTTTGAGGGAAAGAATGTTTATTGTAGCTTGTGGATGCTTGCTTAACAATGTAGTGTCCCAAAGAGGTTTACACTCATCCAGATCACTAAATGTGAATCTTAATTTCTTCTGTTTCCTTTTGTTCTATTATACTCTTATTCTTTACAAGTCCTCTGGAGCTTTAGTAAGATTTCATTTGTAAATTTGGAGGAGTGGTGTTAATAGAAACCACTTGACTGAAAGGCCGTCTGCTTGCGTTTTCCCTTAGATGGCTGGATTGATAATTTTTGTTGGCTGAATTGCAAGATACAAAAGGGTTTCAGCCCAATCTTTCTATAGACACTCATTTGAGCGTCCAAGTTTTGTAATTAAAGTTACCAGGTCATAGGATACAAAATGGTTCCAGTCCAATCTCTTCTGTAGCCACTGATTTGAGTAATTCTGACTACCATTTTGCTACCAGTTTGATATCACTATCCTTTGGTTGGAAAGCTATTATTGTTTGACAGACAACTGGGTGCTTCTAAGAGTATGTAATTTTCTCCTCACAATCAAAACGAGATTAAGTTCTGAACCTGAGTTGTTGGTTAAATAATTTCTGTGTTGATGTTTCTTGTGCCGTCTATCATGACCTTTGGTATTTCAATTTTTTGGTTGATGGAACTGGAATCTATTTTCTAATGTGATTGCTATTTGGTTTCTTTCACTTTTTTATGGAAAAAAATAAAACAAAACATGTTTGTACATGAAGCTGCCTCAGATGCTGTATGATTGTAATATAAAGTGTCTATCCCATGCTTTATTTTTTGGGTTCATAAATGAAGATGAGAATTTGCTTAAAATTTCTCTTTTTTTCTGAAAGGTGGGCCCTGGTGAGGTAGATGATGAACTAGAAGACGAGGTTGGATCCGAGTGTGCGAAGTATGGGACAGTCACTAGGGTTCTTATATTCGAGATCACCGAACCAAACTTTCCTCGTGAAGAGGCAGTTAGAATCTTTGTACAGTTTGAGAGATCAGAAGAAACAACAAAAGCATTGATTGATCTTGATGGGCGGTTTTTTGGGGGTAATGTGGTTCGTGCAAGGTTCTTCGATGAGGAGAAGTTCAGCAACAACGAGCTGGCTCCTATGCCTGGTGAAATCCCTGGGTTTTGATGGATGATTGAATAACCTGTCGAGTTCCCTTCAGGATCATCAGGGAAGTCATGGCGGACTCTTATTTTGATTCCCATTTTACTGTGAGGATTAAGCTATGTTGTAAGTAGGTTCCAGCTTTGGGCTAGGAGGAGCGTAAACTGTGCTCCTACTGACAATAACTAGTAGTTTGCATGAATGACTTTACGGCTTATATGAACGCTTGAGAAATTATTTTCTTCTGCTTAAACACTCACTCTTTGATAAGGGACTAACTTATACGTTCCTTGTGCCAAGATTATTGCATTCAACATCCCGCTCGTAAATTGTGATGGCAACTCAAGGAGATTGATCTGACTCGCCGACATTTCCTGGTTTGTGCTTCGTTCTTTCTGTTGTCAGTGACCTTTTGAACTAATAAACATTGGTTGTCAGAGATTAAACATGAAATCAGACACCTTTAGACTAAGTTGAAGGAAAAATTAGTTTTTTAACTAATTAAATTTAAAAGTAATCCTGGTCCTGGTAATAGAGCTTGCAAGGAAAAGGAAAGCAATGCGGTAGAAGCCTTCGTGCACCAAATGTTAGGCTAAGATAGGACTAGAAGACACCTTTGCCAACCCTGCTCCACGCTACTAGCTCTCTCTCTCTCTATATATATATGCATTCCATTGTCTCTCTCTCTCTATATATATATATATGCATTCCATTGTTTTTTTTTTTTTGTTTTTTTTTTTTTCATGTTTCTACTTCCTACTTCCTTTCTAGCAGTGGTAAATTTCAGGATATACATGAGGAAAATTTTGGAATTTAAGACTCCCAGTTACTGGTCTAGTGATCCCACAGGCGTGTTCTGGTTAGATGCCCTTGCCTCTTGGATGTACGTCCCTTGAAGCTGCTGCTGACTTGGTATCTGCACCTTCATTCCACCTCCGATGGGGGCGGCCGCGGTTGTGGCTGTGGATGGGTGGTGGAGCGCGCTAGCTAGTCCATTGTACATGTAGAATGCAAGAGGATTATTATTGTCAACATCACTTGTAAAACTACCTGCAGAGCCATGTTCATGACCATACAAGGATGTAGACCCAGCATGGCTGTTGTTGTTGTAGGGGTTGATCATTGTGGGATCGATATTGCAGCGTGGCGACGTGGTTGGAGAGCAGTCTCCTCCTCCTCCTCCACCACCACCACCATAAGCAATGACGGTGCTGCTGGTGGTAGGTGTCGTGTTGGTGCTTGTATTTGGGATCACCCCACAAGTTGGGCACCGGCTCACAACCTTGCAACGAGCAATTATAGAGCATCTAGTTAAAGAGGTTGTGTTCGTAACACAGCATAGAAACTAACAAACATATTTTAGTCCCTTTGGGTGCACAGCTGAGGAAATCAAGGAAAGAATGCAAATTAATTACATAGAGATGGAGGCCAGTAAGAAATTTCAACTTTAAATACCTTATAGCGGTAGGTGGTGCCATCAGGCTCAACAACCCAACCAGCCTCCTTGGCGAGTTCACGGAGGACTTGATTGATATCAGAGCGTGGTGAGAGCTGGTAACCACCATATTTCCTGAGTCCATGGAAGATCCTGGTGGTAACAGCTCTTCTCTGTCTCTCTCTCAGTTTTGTTCTCTCCTTATCACTCTCACTCCTGCTTGATGATGATGTTGATGAACCATCCCTCTTCATGGTTATCCTGCTTCTCTTCTCTCTCTCTCTCTCTGAAGTTTATATATATATATATATTTATGGTGGTGGGGTTGGTTTATATATGTTTTTTGCATGACAAAGAGAGAAGATCATGGGAAGACGAACGGAGCGCACAGCGCGTGAAGGAAGAAAATAGAAAAGTTGTTAGGCAGAGGCTGATCGATGGCAATGTACGTTAGTGGGTGGCTGAGGCTCACATATTGACTGGCAGCACAGTACCCGGCCAGATACAATTCATGGGGGACAAGAGATCGGTAATCTTAAAAAAAAAAAAATTCTAGCATAAACAACAAAGATTATGCCAAGCTTTAGAAAAGAAGAATTACTTTCATTTTTCAAAAATATAAAATCAATTCACTTATGAAAATTAAAGACTCTGATGAGATGACATTATAACTCTGATTTTTTATTACATGTTTCGAGGTTTTTCCTTAGTAGATGTTCCAAAGAGCTAAGTTGAAGTTAGTTCTGTCATCATATGAAATGGAAATAACAAGATAAGATCATCACAATTCAAGGTTCCATGAACTTAGTTCTTATTATAAATATCACAATTCAAGGTTCCATGAACTTAGTTCATATTATTTGGTTTAGTCCTTCTCTTTCAACAGAAAGAGAAGGGAGGAGGATTCCCTTGAAAAAGCAGGAGTGAGGATCTGCTGACCGTTAGTACTTACAGCCGAAAGTGAAAACTAACAAGTTGTCAGGGAAAATGGTGGTAAAGGGCAGAAGAAGCTCTTGTACTTTGGTGCAGTAATAGAGCTGGGAGGGGTGGAGTTGTAGCTTGGGGTGTTTTGGTTTGGTTTGGTTTGTACCAAGTTCCTTGATTTGAAAACCAGAGAATCCAATACCATCATAATCTTCAAGTTTCTATAGTCAAGTTTCAAGATTCAACAAACACTTAAAATCCACGATTAATCAAATTATAGAGACCAGTTATTTAGCCATCATGCTTTGACAGATACGGAGAGAAAGGTCACACTAAAAAACAAGATATGCAGCAAGGAAAATACATTTTAGTACTAACTGGGAATGTTATATATTGATATAATAAAATTATTTTTTTGTCCTTTGGTGTGAAACAGGGAAGCCTTGGTGTTAGGGGCGGTTTGGTCTTTTTCTTTAAAGGTTCCTTAGTCATTAAAAAATTGTTAGAGGATATCTTTGTTTAAAAAAAAAAAACATCAAAAAGTAAAACTTCCAAGATAAAAAAAAAATTAGAAATATTTACGAAGCATGTGTTTGTCTTTTTGCTTGTTATAATATTGAAGACAATGTATTTACCTTTAAAAAGAAAAAGAAAAAGAAAGGACAAAGCATGCGTTTAAAAGGTATTTTCATCTTTTTTTTCATAGTTTTTGTATTTTCATGTAGGAAAGTTGATTTTTTATTCAAAAAAATTGTTAATGTATGCTTGTTAGATAGCGGGTGAGACATAACCTAGTAGCCGAACAAGTCCTCTCATAATATCTTTGAAAATACTATCATATCCAAAAACATATACAGTTATCCTTTTTTTATGTTTAAAATTTTAGTTTTTATTATTTAAATTTTTATTCTTTTTATAAAAATTTTATTTGGTTTCAATTTAGTTCTTTAATAATAATTTGTCATATATTATTTTTTCCATTTCATTTCTTATTTTTTATTTCAAAAAGTTTTTCTTGATTTTTTTGTTAAAGTTTTTTCTTTTTCAATTTTATTCTTTAATCAAATTTTATGGTTTTTTTTTTAAATTTAGCCTTCGTTCTTTTGATTTGTTTTTTTCTTTGTTGAAGTTACTTTTATTTTCAATTCAACCCTCCAACTAAACATTTTTTGTTGCCCTCTAATTTTTTATTTTATTTTTCATCCTCATTCTTTTAATTACAAATTTTTAGATCTTTTTGTATAATTTATTTTTTTATTTCACATTTGATTTATTAGGGATTAGACTTCATGATATGTTTTTAATATTTTTTTCCATCTAGTGAGATGGGTCATTGTATTGAAAAGTTAATGCAGTTCAACATCTTTTATTTCTTATTTTTTTTATGATTTTATTGTTCTATATTTTTTATAAAAAAATAATTTTGTGATTATCTTTAATTTTTTTTCTATTAGTTTATCTTAGTCTCATGATTTAGATCACGAATTTTACATATGTTTTTTTAAATTATGTTTAATTTTTTAAGATATTATTTTGATTCATATATATATATATATTTGTGGTTTTGTATAGATGAAATTTATTTTAAAATAATATTTATAATATGTTTGGCTTAGCATAATATTTTTTTCTTTAATTTTATTCAATCAGTTTCATGTGTATTTCTATTTCTATTATCTTTATTAACTTTAATAAATAAATTTAGTAAACATAACTAGGTAAATATCATATTTTACGAGATTAAATATCTTAATTTACATTCATTTTTTATGTTTTGCAATTTCTCTTTTAGTTATAGTTGATTACTGTTTTTGTTTATTTACATGAATGATTATTAATTTATTTAATTATATGTTTGTATAACTTTTTTTAATTTATACTTTTAATTTTTTTCATGTAAAAAGACACATCATAATAGCATGTATATTTTATTGATATATATAAAAAATTTACCACCCGCTATAGAGTGCATGTCAAATAAGTAGAGTATATACATGTTTACATATAAAAAAAATATATAACTAGATTTAATAATTTTATTGAGAGAGAATTTTATTGAGAAATGATGACTAGAGCCTTCCATAAGAAATTGCAATGACCTTGATAATGATTGATCTCATATTAAAGATATTTCTTTTCTTTTTTTTTATATTTTATTTTCTAATATTATATGTAAATATTAAAAAACTCAATTTATATCTTAAATCAATAGCTTAATTATAGGCTGAAATTTCAATTGATTTAAGTAAAAAAATAACAAACAACAAATATTTCATTAAAAAAATCAATTTAAAATATTTTCTTTAGTTTCATATCATTAATTCTTATTTATTTATATATTTACACGCGTAGTAGGTGAGACATATGGCATATATATGCTATCAATCCGTTTGTTATGTTTTACTATATTAATATTGTTAAATGAGATTGGGATGAGATGACATGCAATATTTTCATACATCATAATTTAAAAGTCAGTTTCAAACAATAGAAAATTAATAAACTAATGCCTTTGATTTAATCTAGAGAAGGAGGAAGGTGGACGGAGGGATGGAATGCGCACTAAATTCAAATGTGGAGGACTTAATTGCACATTTTCAAACCTTAGACGCCATAGCTTCAATTAATCCCCAGATCAAGGGATCTAGATTGATAAAAGCAACGAGAAGCAAGAACATGGAATATTGTTTTCATGATAAAAACGTAAGAAAAATCAACAAGAAGAAGGGAGAAGAGGGACTAATATTGTTTTCTTGTCAAAGAGGTAGCTAGCCAGCAGCCGCCTTTCACCATAATTAACAACAGTAAAAATATTACCAATAAATTATGTATTTTATATTGACAGAATTAATCCGTGAATTAATGGTATAATATCCCTTATCAATACCTTCACCTGTTGATTTTAATCAATGAATGGAATTAGGGATGAAAAGACAACTGAAAATGAAGGTTTTATGACATGAAAAAGGAAGCAAATTGTTCGGATGTGATATAAATATAACACCTTTTGATACCATTTATGAACAGTCAAGAAATTAAAGGCAAAAAAATTGTTTTCTTGACAAACAAGCAAAGAAGAAATCAACGAGAGGCGAGAAGATGGAATACTGTTTTCATGGGAAAAGCGTAAGAAAAATCAACAAGAAGAAGCGAGAAGAGGGACTAATATTGTTTTCTTGTCAAAGAGGAAGCTCGCCAGTAGCCGCCATTCACCATAACCTGTCATTATCGCTGAAAAAATCAATCAAAAAAATAGTTGAACACTTCGAGATTTTAAACCATGCTTAGCTCACCCTTCGCCGAAACTAAAAATCTTCTCTCTTGCCTCGAAAACTTGTATAAATAGGACCATATATGATTGCCAATAACATAAACATCAAAACAGTGAAGCCAATTGAGTCTGATATATACATATATACATCGATATGTCAAGGTTACAAGCAGAAGAAGAAACTCAAAAGGCTTTTGGATGGGCAGCTAGAGACTCTTCAGGAATTTTATCCCCTTTCCACTTTACTAGAAGGTATGCGCATATGAGAAATATGTTTTTTTATCCGTATCAATTGCATGATATATACTATGTCACTTAATAAAGAATTTTGGTAAAAAATGGAAAATCTCTAGCATCATCCTTCATTATTTACATGCGTTATATGTATAGAATTACTAATGCATGACATTTCAAGTCATTAATGGATTTTATATATGATTATTTCTTTATCTTTCTCGTGTTTTTTCTCCTGCCATGCTATCAGGGTTAATGGAGATAACGATATTACAATCAAGGTTTTATATTGTGGGATTTGCCATTCTGACCTGCACATAACCAGGAATGATTTTGGAATTTCTCTCTATCCTGTTGTTCCCGGGTACGCTTTCGTCAGATCATAATTCCATGCACCTTCTGTTTTATCCTCAATATTAACATATCATCTCCGAAATAATAATAATAATCATAAGAAGAAGAAGAAGAAGAAACATTACCGGCCGGTTTTACTTAATTCATTATCTTGCTCAACCACAGGCATGAGATCGTTGGTGTGGTGACCCAGGTTGGGGAAAAGGTAGACAGGTTCAAGGTCGGAGACAAAGCAGGTGTGGGATGCTTAATAGGCTCGTGTGGAAAATGTGAGAATTGCCAAGACGACATAGAGAGTTACTGCTCCAAATCTGTTTACACCTACACTATTTTCGATGACGGCGGAGCCAAGAATTACGGTGGATTTTCTGATTTATATGTTGTTAATGAGCACTTTGCCATTCGGATTCCAGATAATCTCTCATTAGGAGGTGGAGCTCCGCTGCTTTGTGCTGGGATTACAGTTTTCAGTCCCATGAAGTATTTTGGGCTCGACAAGGCTGGGATGCATCTGGGCGTGGTTGGTCTTGGTGGATTGGGTCATCTGGCGGTGAAGTTTGCAAAGGCATTTGGAATGAA